TTCAGATCTTGCTTCTGATGTTTGCTAGTTGAGAATGCTGCCAATATACTCTTGTATTACCTTACCTGGAATACTTTAATGGCTTATATGTTCATTAAAAGTCAGGAATATAGCTGGGGAGGAGATAGATACTTACCTTGTCATCTGACCTAAGCTTTTATGCTTGCTCAGATTTATTTGCATAGTAGAACAGAAGCATATCCCAAATACAACAAGGGGTCAGACCCAAAAAGCTCTCTGGGATTGGTTTCTGTGGGTAAGCTCTGCAGAAATGAATATAGAGAAATAGGATCTTCAGATGGAAATTAGGCAAGTGAGTTACCTTGACTTTCTCCCTCTAAGCTAGACCAAAGAGCCGCTGTTGGAGATTCCATTTTTAGTGCTCAGGAAACAAAGTTTAAAAAGACCAGAATCAATTACAACAGAACTGGTTAGCTGGTGCTGTCACTAGCTCTGGCATTGTGTTCCAAAGTGCTTGGCTTTGGGTCAAGAATCTCCTTCTGGAGAGGAAAGCCCGTTTTACTCAAGGTGTGAGGAGCAGAGACACTACCCATTATGGGGGGAAATATCTGGAAAGAGTTTTCCCCATCTCGCACCCTAAAAAAGGTGTTTTTCCTTCCAAGTCTGATAACTTGATATCTTGAAACTTCTGATTTCTGAAAAAGCTCTGCTTAGAAGAATTTTAAAACTGTATTTATGGGACAATGGGAGAGCCTCCTCTTCCTTTGGGGAAGGGATAGAAAACCAGATAGGGGCTCTATGTGGAGCCAAAACTGGAAGCAGAAAGGAACTCCACAACTACATTCACAGTGCTTGTCTGCAGAAAACTTCAGGCAACCCCAGGACCAGGGGAGTGTAATGAGCAACCCCCACATAATGCCAATAGGGAGAAATGCCTGGAAGAGACTTTTGTGTGTTCAGCAGAGATCATGCACTAGGAAGGGAATAAGTATTTATTAAATGCCTACTATGTGCCTGGCACTGTCCTAAGCTTTTTATAAATATTATCTCCTTTGATCATCACAAGAATCCTGTGAGACAGAGTGCTCTTATTTACTTCATTTTACAGTTGAAGAGGCAGACAGAGGTTAAAAGAGCCCAGGATCACACAGCTAGTTAAGTGTCTGAAGACAGATTTGAATTCAGGTCTTCCTGACTCCAGGCCCAGCACTCTATCCACTGCACCACCTAGCTGCCTCTGAATGACCCATGACCAGTGAGGAGCAAGCCTGGTAGAAGCTGTATGATGAAATCATGAGAAGATATCGGTGTCTTTGCGGTAATTGATGAAGGATTCTGCCTACGTGTTCCATGTGTGGCCCTCTACAAATGAGACCTGGCTATATGTTCTCTCTACATGGATGCCATTCCCCATGTCTTCCCACTCTAAACCTGTTCCTAATCTATGTCTTTCCATGTGTATGCCTAACTGTATATGTTTCCTTCATGAGTATCTCTATACGTTTATGGTCTGCTTATGTCTTCTGTTCTCATTTAACGATATGTATACTTGTGGGAGAGTATGTCACAAGTTTATAAGAGAATTGCTTGATTACAACTTTTTTTCTTTGAACTGATGACATCTTCTAGTTGACTAGTGAAGATAAACACATTGGTGGGGGCTCACCAACTATGGTTTTGAAGGGTTGCAGAATCACAGAATACCTTCAATCCTGTTTGGTGGATTCATGTGCAAGTTAGGAGGTGCCCCAAGGTCCTGCATCTATAAGTTCATGAAATCAAGTTCTTATCTGGCATAATTTTCTATGGACATTTCCTTTTTAGGCAACTAGTTAGTATAGTGGATTGTTGTTGTTGTTCAGTCGTTTGAGTTGTGTCTGACTCTTCAGGACCCTTTTTGTTTTGTTTTTTTTTAGCAAAGATACTGGAGTGGTTTGCCATTTCCTTCTCCAGCATTTTAGAGATGAGGAAACAAGCAAACCCGGTTAAATGACTTGCCCAAGGTCACACAGCTAATATGTTGCTGAGGCCAGATTTGAACTCAGGAAAATGAGTCTTTTTGACTCCAGGCCTGGCACTTTATCCACTGGGCCACCTAGCTGCCCCAGAACAATGGATAGGACACCAGATCCGTATTCAAGGAAGACCTAGGTGACACAGTGGAGACAGCACCTTTTTTTAGGGCCAAGAAAACCCCAAAGGGGGTCACAAAGAGTTGGACATGACTGAAATGACTGAACAACAATGAGTTCTACTTCTGCCTCAGACACCACCTAGCTGTTTGATCCTGGACAGGTCATTTAACCTTTGTCTCTCTGTTTTTTCATCTGTAAAATGCAGATAAGAATAGAAACTAACTTCCAAGGCTGTTGTGGGGACAAAATGAAACAATATTTGTAAAGTGCTTTGCAAACTTTAAAGCTCCATGTAAATATTAATGATTATTTGTCTTAGTTTTAGTGCTTGGGGGGGACACACAAAAGTTTAAAATATATCCATATTTGAATAAATTATCATGGCCTCTGATAATTTCTTCTGTTGTTTCAATAGTTATGAATTTATCTTCCTGCCATAGTCAAAATAAGTGTACTGTTGCATTTCTTCTAACTTTCATATGATTAATTATTATTTAGTTCATTCCATTTGGAATTTTTATAGTCTATGGAGAGGAGCACCATTGGTTTGAGCTTGGCCTTCTAGTTGGCTAATGGGGATAGCATTAACCATTAATCTACCACTGATCTGAAATGGGAAGCCTAAAGCTGTTAGGAGCCAAATCCAAGGATGCAGTGCCCGAGGAAGGACAGATGCCATTCTGGGGTGGACAAAACAGTGTGAAAATAAAGGAAGCAGGCTTGAGGTTTGAGGCTAGAACATACAATTAGTTAGAACAGGGAATATTTATGAAATGAAGGAGTTATGCAGTCAGTAAGTCACTGTTACTACTAATAAATACTAGGGGTCAATAGAATCCCAGTGCTTTAGCTATACTTTCTTATGAAGTGTTTCAGGAAATCCTCATGGGATAAGCATTTGATGCTGTTGTCATTACTAAGCAAATTGAAAAGCAGGTAATTTGTATAATTATTGTATAATGGGTTTAAGCTCATTCTCCATTATGGTTGAAGTAAATACTGGAGCGCATTTAAGAATTCTGATGCTTTGGGAAAGGGAGAAAGGATATTGTAGTGGAAAGACCATTGAATTTTTAGCCAAAAGACCAGGATTAAAGATTTAGCTGTGATTCTGAATAGTTCTGTGGCTATCAGCAAATTTCATGCTTTCCTAAAGCCTTAATTTCCCAATTTGTAAAATAAACATAATAATATGTGTGTGTATGTATGTATATGTATATATGTATAAATGTATGGATGTATTAATAGCTTATATATATGGCTACCTGTCTCATAGGATTGTTGTGTCAAAAGTACCTTGTAAACCACAAAACTGTACGTACATATATATGTATATATGTATATATATATGTACTCATATATACATACTCTTATAATTTAGTTATATTTTTAAAAGTGTGACTGAAACTTCATTGAAATGTCATCTTTCCTGTTATAATCTAAGGTCCTTGAGGGCAGGGACTATTTCAATTTTGACTTTATATCCTTAGAGTTTACCGTAGTGTATGGTACATGTTGTTGTTCAGTCATATCCAACTCTTTGTGACCCCATTTGGGGTTTTCTTTCTAAAGATACTGGAGTGGTTTGTAATTTCCTTCTCCAGATCATTTTATAGATGAGGAAACAGAGAAACAGGTTGAAGTAACTTGCCCATGGTCACATAGCTAGTAAGTGCCTGAGGCCAGATTTGAACTCAGGAAGATGAGTCTTCCTTACTCCAGGCCCAGTACTCTATCCATTGTGCCACCTAGCTGTCCTTGTCTGGTATATAGTAGGTACTTAATACATGCTTATTGCTCCGTCAATCAATTATGATGTAGAGAGGTAATCCTGAATTCTCAAGGGCTATATCCATATAATATAAACTTTGGTAGGTTCTACCAAGCTATAAAGACTTTGGGTGTAATCCTAGAGATAGACTTTCTAGTGTCTGAGACTGTCCTTACTAAGCATGGAGCAACTCTTCATGAGCAGGTTCATCTGAAGGTGACAAATGCTTTGGCCATAAAGACCATGGAACAGGTAAAATGTTGTTATTGTTGTAGACTCTGTCATTCTCCTAAGCTTGATGTTGAATAGCATCTTTTTTAGCCATCTTGTTGGGTATCTTTCATATTGCACATTACTGAAAAATGGAAGCTTCTTGAGGGCAGGGACTGTTTTGTTTTTGTCTTTGTATCCCCTGCATTAGCACAGTGAGCATTTAGTAAATGCTCATTGAATTGAACTAAATCCTTAATATACCAGCACTCCCCAAGGTAATTTATTCAAGCTAATTCTCAGGCCCCTTTGGAATTCAAATACTTCTGCTAGGATGTATTAAGTTTATATTTTAAAATTCTCTCATTAGATTTTTATGGTTCACAATATCACTATTATATATCAGAAGATAAATTCAATGCTACAGTTCCAGTTGCTACTATATTTAATGCTACTATAATTTAATACAACTTATTTTTTTTATGTATAGCTCTTAATATACTTTCTCTATATTGTTACCCACTTCCCTGGAAAAGTTTTGATTGAATGTCTGTTTGATTAAATGCAATTTAAGTAGGCATTTAGCTGGTAAGAACCACAATGAGATGCTATTGTTTTTAAGGTCCTATACAGCTCTAAAGTTCTGTGACAATTAAAACATTCTGAGAGACATAGTTTCTGGGTAATTCAATCATTTTATTAATAAGACCAGCACATTTATTAATAAAAAGATGGTCATTTGCTATTTCTTTTAGACCAAAGACCCCACATGGTGGTGGGCTCACAGTTTATGTGTCCTTTGAAGAGTAGGTGTTCCTGAGGGGTATCAGTCAACTCTGATTGGTTAACACAATGGGATATGGACTATATTACAATGAGGGTCTTGGGGTATGTGACTGGGTCACCCAAATCTTGGTCAAAGGGACCTATCCATTTCCATATCACCTGTCGGACAAAAGAGAAAATCAACATTTTCCCAGACCTGTCTGAGCAAACACAGTGAGCAGGAATGCATCCATTAGCCTAAAATTTTTACCATTTGATTAGATGTTGGTGTGGATAAATCTTTAAGAGAAATTTTCCGCACTAGGTGGTTTCTGGAGAAAAGGGTAAAAACCTCGGTCCTAATTCAATAATTAGTTATTAAATACAAGAGAGAAATACTCGTTTCTCATAGTTCTTATCATTTTCTTTCTATTTTTTCTTACACATCAAGTAAGCGAACATTGTAGAAGCTTCCTCACTGTCAAACTCCTCCTTTAAAACCAGCTTGTTAGAGTTTTCCTCACATGCTAGGTAATGTTCTGGGTACAAGAATGACTTGAATTTTATCTTATTATAGCCTATAACTTTGTTTAGCTGGAACAAGATATCTTTGTCCTCGTCTTCAATCTTGTCTGGAAAATCACCCTCCTATAGGAAAAAAGAAAGGAAAACATCCCAGATGTTATAATGTTGGGCCATAGACAGCCTGAATGGGAAGAAGTACAAATGATGGGGCTGATAGACCAATGGGACCTCTAAAAAAGGGTCCTTGAACTTTCCCACAAATTTCAACAGCCCAAATCCCTGGCATTCTCTTGAGGCATCCAGCCTACCCCAGCTACTCGACATTCCTTAATCCATCCAGGCCTCTTTCTGTTACCTCTGGACCACCTCAGGTAATTTGCCACTCCTTTAGCCCATCCAGATTTTCTCACAGTCTTTCTGTATAAAAATACCAGTCTTGCCCCCATTAAATTGCCCAGATTCTTAAAATCTGGCCTACTTGTATTGGCATCACAAATACCACAGACTCACTAGGAATCCATCCAACTTTCTACTTGGACTGAAAGAAGGCTTGAGGGGTCAGATTATTTTGAGGCAGACCGCTGCCCCATACTCTTGGGTTTTGGGGGTTCCTAGCACTCCTAGACCTCAACATATTTTGGTTCCCTGCTCTGTGCAATTTAATGGTCCCATTACTCCATCAGCCCCATTACATATATTTACATTGTATAGAATATTGTTGAGGTTCAGGGGTACCCCAAAATATTGAGGTGCATGGTGTACGTGTGGTGAGGTTGTCCTGAAAGAATTTATTCAGGCTGCCTCCAAATCAAGTAAAGGTATTTATTTCAGGTAACACAACACACCAAGCAGGCTCCTCCACCCCTTAAGGGAGATGTAGCTTAAGGGAGACCCCAGCTTAAGGGGGTGGGGCAGCTCTTCAAGGGAGACAGCTGTTTCTTAATGGAGATAGCAGCTCCTTAAGAGAGACAGCCCCCCAAGGGAGAAGTCCCCCCCCCCCAAGAAAAGCCCCCACCTCCAAGGGAGACAGCTGATTCAGGGAAATGGCTCCTTAAGGGAGACACTCACTACCTGCCTTGGGTTGGGAAAGATAAGGTAATCAGGGACACATAGGCAAGGGGGCAGGATTGGTTCAGAGTTGTGCTCATATCTAGGCACATAATTATTCCATTGTCAGCCCTAGGCAGAGGGGTGGAGGGGCCCAGGGTTAGTTTTGGTATTTCATTGACCAACCTATTTGAATCTCAATATCTTCTTCAGTGCTTCAGATAATGTGTTTCTCATTGTCCAGTCTACCTGAATGTCATCACAAGGACCTGAGCTCTAATCCTTTGCATTGACTTTTGGTGTAACATTGACAAAATTCCTTCCCCTTTCTAGGCCTCAGTTTCCTATCTACCTAATGAGGGGATTGGACTGGGATATTTTTAAAGAACTCTTCTAATTCTCTCTATAGAATATAGATATTCTGTCTAGCTTATTTATCTATGTATTCATTCATCTATTTATGTATTCATTCATCTGTTAATTAATGAATCAAGTTATCTAGTTTTCTATTAATTAATTCCATCAAAGACACTATGATTCGTTAAGTCATCCAGGTTTGAAACATGTTTTCCTTGACATCTCACCCTTTTGTACCTCAATATATAATCACTTGTCGAATCTTGTTTCTAGTTCTACAATATCTCTCCTCTTTTGTTTACTCATAGAGCTACCACTCTTGTTCAAGCCCAAGTCAGCCTCTTTACTGGACTATTACAATGGCCTCCTACTTGGTCTCTGCCTTCAGTCTTTCTCCATTCCGATCCATCCTTCACACAGATGCCAAAAGTGATTTTCCAAGTCTGATCATGTCACTCAACTGAATGAACTCAATGAACTCCAATTGCTTCCTATTGTATTTGGGATTATATACAAACTCTTCAGGCATTTAAAGTCTTTCAAAACCTGGCTCTACCCTACCTTTCCATGCTTGTTCTACTTTATTCCCTTTCCTGCAATCTCTGGTACAACAAACTGGTGCCATTACTCCTCATACACAACATTCTGTTTCCTGTCAGTATGACTTTGCACAGGTTGTTCCCCAGTGCTTGGAATTCATTTTCCCCAAATCTACCCCATAAGATCCTTTGTTGTTGTTCAGTCATTCATTGTGTCTGACTCTTCATGACTCCATGAACTTGTCCATGGGGTTTTCTTGGCAAAGGTATTGAGTAGTTTGCCACTGCCTTCTCCAGTGTGTCCCCATTTTACAGATGAGGAAGTGAGGCAAATAGGAGTTAAATGATTTGTCCAGGATCACACAGCTTAATAAATATCTGAGGCTGGATTTGAAGTCAGATCTTCCTGATCTAGCACTCTATCTATTCCACCAAAGGATCTCTAGCCTCCTTTGAAGTTCTTGCTACTTGATGCCTTTCCTGATCCTCACAACTGCTAATGCTTCCTCCTCAAAATTATGTCATCCTTTGTATATAAACTTCATATGTGCTTATATGACTACATGTTTTTTTTTTCTTACGGAATGCATATTCTCTGAGATTGGGTACTGTTTTGTGGATACAAATACAAAAATTTTATATTTATCTTCCTGTTACTTATTCACAGTTCCTGGAACAAAGTAGGTGCTTAATAAATGCTTGTTGATTGATTGGTTATTATTTCCTCATCTGTAAAATGGAGAGATGGGCAAGATAAGATCCAAGTTCCATTCCAGATCTAAAAGTCTGTGTTTTCTGTCTGTGTTTTTTTACATTGCCTATTCCACAGGGCTTTTATAAGGCTCAAATGAAATAATATCCATAAAGTGCTTTGTAAACTCAACATAAATGTCAGCTAATTTTGTTATTTCCTCCTTCAAGCTTGATCCTGACGTTCATGTCACTGGACTTCCCTCTTGTTAAAGGGGTAGAAAGAAAACCATATAGTGGGGTTTGCCCAGGATCCCTTCATCCTCTAAGCCCAGTCCTGATAATGCTGCTAATCTAGAAGAGGAGATTAAAAAAAAAACCTTATAGTTGACTTTGAGATACCTTGGGTGTTTAGGTGGCACAGTGGAGAGAATACTGGGCCTAGAGTCAGGAGGACTCATTTTCCTCGGTTCAAATTTGGCCTTAGGTACTCACTAGCTGTGTGACTCTGGTCAAGTCACTTAATCATATTTGTCGGTTTCCTCATCTGTAAAATGAGCTGGAGAAGGAAATGGCAAACTACTACAGTGTCTTTACCAAAAAAACCCCCAAATGGGGTCAAAAAGAATCATACATGGCTGAAAAATGACTTGAGATACCTTATGACATTTTTTTTTTCCTTTGGCACTTTTACCTTGCTAATTATCTTTTATTTAGACTGTTATTTAAATGAGTTCACTGAGAATTAACTTAAAGGCAAGATTCATTCCTGAAAAAACAACAACTATGCTTTCATTCTTTCTTCAGACTAATATGGCAACTCACTTTCTAGGTTGTAATCCCTGATGACCTGGGTTTTGATACTGGTGCTGGGTCCACCCCATGAGCAAAAGCCAAACGTCATTCACTGACTTTGACAAATGTAGGTGGTCTTCCATTATTATAATTCTTTGTCTCTTGCTCTTTATTCTCTGGACATTGGTTTTAGACTCAGGAACTGGGGAGTTATTTCTAATGTTTTCCTAGTAATGAAAGTAAGAACTCAAGAGGCTTAATCTTACCTTAAATTGAACTTCTTTATCACTTTTGCAGGTTAGACGATAACTCTCATTTCCACCCCTCACAGAGATGGCTACTAAGGGTGTTGGGCTATCGCAACCATAATACTGCAGCATAAATTGAGTCCAGGGTGCATTGCCTGAGATTAAATATTTATGAATTAGAATTATTTTGAGTAGAAAGGTTTTCCCCCCCTTCAGATTTGAACATTTAATGATAGTTACTGAGTCCTCCTAACAGACCTCTCTTCTTGGTTTTACGCTGTGTCTTTATAACTGAGGTAGACGAGAAGAATGTATTTATCTTGCCATGGCTACTTCACACTTCTTAATATGTCATTAACTATGCATGCAAAAAGTTCTAGAGTCTGTTCAAGGTGCTTTCTGACCTTAAAAATCCAATTTGGGCCTTTGCTTCACTTCAGAAGTCACAAGCATCACTCTCAAGTGACTCTTGTGTTTCTTAGTCTTTCTTGTTGAAACGCAATTTGAAGTAAATAAGAATAGTCAGAGTATCTATCACTCTTTGTGAATCAGAATCTATAGACTCTGATATAGAAAGCTTAGGAAGTTGACTATTTTTTGAGACATTTTAAGGCTGTAGCTGAAGACAGGAACCATATGAAATGATTTTGGGCTTCTCTTTGGCTTTGTTTAGAAATTTCTCTAGAAAATTCTGTATTAGCGTCTGTACTGTTGGGGACACAAAGGGAATGAAGGGCCTGGTTGGAAGCCATAGGTAAGATCTTGACATGGTGAATTTTATGTCTTCTCTAAAAAGGAGGCTGATCTTCAGACTAGAAATAATAGGTAAAAAATAATAAAGTTGTAAAAGAAAACATAGACTCCCATGCCCCCCCAAAAAACCTCAAGAAAAATAAAGAATATTTTTAAAAAATTTGCTTCGCTCTATGTTCAGACACCATCAGTTGTTTCTTTGGAGATGGATAGCATTGTTCATCATAAGTCCTCCAGAGTTGTCTCAGATCATTGTACAGCTGAGAAGAGCTAAGTCATTCACAGCTGACTGTCTCCCAATATTGCTATTACTCTGTACAATGTTCTCCTGGTTCTACTCATTTCACTCTGCATCAGTTCATGTAAATCTTTCCAGGTTTTTCTGAGATCATCTAGCTCATCATTTCTTAGAGCACAAAAGTATACTACATATATTCTATCACATACTATCATATGTATATGATACAATCATATACAATCATATACTACAACTTCTTAATGTGAATTGTTATAGTAGCTTCCTAATTAGTCTCCCTGCTTCAAGTCTTTACTCACTCCAATCCATCCTCCACACGGTTGCTGAAGTGATCTTCCTAAAGTTCAGATCTGATTATAATAATTAGTATAGCAGTACATATATGTTATTAGTAAATATATATATACATATAGGGGTATGCAATTTTTAAAAAAATTTAGAAACTACTGGTATAGATTAAAGTAGTGATAATGCTATTGTATTCTGTTGGTCTGACTACACATAGAATATAGTATTTAATTCTTGGCAAAGCATTTACATTTTTTTATTATAATAATGTTAGAAGAGTAAACCAATATACTAACACTTACATTAATTAAGGCATGTAGTATCAATGAAATATATAATCTTTACTTCAGGGTTCTATGATTTCATTGGGTCTGGGTATTCTTTCCATGAATGTAGATTCCAACCCCTCTTTACCTCACTAGGTGATCTTCCTTAGTTGCTGTGGCTGGAAAAAACTCCTTTACCAAGTGACCAACTTTCTGGTGATTGAACTTCTCCATATTTAGCCAGGCTGGTACTTAATGTCAGGTTCCCATGACTGCTAAATACCAGGATCCTTTGACATCTGAACCAGGGGTGGGCAAACATTTTAAGAAGAGTTTTTTTTCAAACAAGAATGCATCTAGAGAACTGATGACCAGCATGGAAAGGAGTCTGGACACCAGGTCATCTGAGGAGTGGTTGAACAAACCAGGCATGTTTTAACCTTAGGAAGAAATGATTAGGCAGGGTCAGGGGAGCAGATGGACATGATAATGGTCTTTAAACATCTGAATGGCTGTGATATGTAAGAGAGACTGACCTCATTCTGCTTGGGGAGAATGAGAAAGAATGGGTGGAAGGTATAGGGAGATAGATTTTAATTCAATATGAGGAAGATGAGCATGCCAGTCATAAAAATGCCTTTCTAAAAAAAAAAGCTTCACAAGTATAAGAAGGGGAATGTATGGTTAGATAGAAGTTTCTCAGAAAAAGATGGAGTTTTAGTGAGTTGAAACCTCCATATGATTCATCAATATGATGTGGCAGTCAAAAACCCAAGTGTAATCACAGGTTGAATCAAGAGAGGCAAAGATTCTAGATAAAAAGAATCAATATTCTCTCTGTACTTTGCCTTGATTGGACCACATTTTGAATATTATGTTCAGTGCTGAGCCCCAGAACAAGAATGTTGATAATACCAGCTGTGTGACCCTGGGCAAGTCACTTAAACCCAATTGCCTTTTAAAAAAAAAAGGAACATTGATAAGATGATGAGTACTCAGAGGAGAGCAACTAGTATAACTAAGAGTCTTGAGTCATGTGAGGACTGAAGAAATTGGGAATATTTAATTTGAAGGAGAAGACTCAGGGAGGGCATGCTTGCTATGTTCAAGTATTTGAAGGGTTGTCACCTGGAAGAGCAATTACTTTCTGTGTTTGACCCCAGTGAGCAGAACCAGGAGCAATGGATTTGCAGAGTTGTAAAAGAGATGGATTAAGGCTTGATCTCAGAAAGAACTCCCTCATGGGTAAAGCTATTCTAAGTGGAATGGGCTGCCCCAGGAGATGGCAGGCTCCTTGGAGGTTTTCAAGCAAAGAATGGATGTGACTACCTTGGGGTATCTGATAACGATTCCTTTCAGATATGGGTTGGACTTAGTGACTGCTGTGGTCTCTTCTGACTAAAAATTCTCTAATCAGAGCTATTTGAAAATGTGGAGGGCTGCCTTATGAAGCCATGAGTTCCTTGTCACTGGATGTGTTCAAGTAGAGGTTCCGACATCAGTAAGGAATGTCAATAGAAGGGCTTCCTGTATTAGGTAGGAGGGTGGTAGTGATGGGTTAACTAAATAAACATTTGGGGCTCTTCCACTTTGAAGATTCTTTGATTATAAGGGTATAATTATTACAAATTGCTTTGTAAAATAAATTGAGAGTCATAGAGTTAGTACTTTGTTGATTGGGTTATGTTGCATGTACTCTACACAGGGAAGAAGAGAGATGTGTAAGAGCTTTGGATTCTCAAATGAAGCCCCCAGGAGTAAGCTCAATAATCAGATCCTACAAGGACAAATGGATATCCAAATGGAGTTTGGTATGAATAGCATTAAGTTGAACTTATTCCTGTATTCCAAGCCACTTAAGGCTTGGGTCTAGCAGGGCTTTGGGACTTAAGTGACAAAATAGAGTTTGAAGAACAAAGACCTTGGGAGGCAAAGTGATGAAACACAGAAAGACCCTTAAGCTGATAGTCAGGACAATTAGGTTGTTAATGCTAGTTCTGCTACTAACTGGTCATTTGACCTTTGGTGGGTAACAACTTCTTTAAGACTTACAACCTTACTATCTGAATACAGATTGAAGCATACTTTTTATTTTAACTTTATTTTTCTTGAGTTTCTTTTTTGTCTGTATTTTCTTTCACAACCTGACTATTACGGATATGTTTTGCATCACTACACATGTATAATCTATCCTGAATTGCTTGCCTTTGCAATGAGGTGGAGTGGGGAAGGAGGAAGGGAGAGAATTTGGAACTCATCGTTTTAAAGATGAATGTTAAAAATTGTTTTTACTTATAATTGGGAAAAATAAAATAGTAAATAAATTTTAAAAAGACATACAATGTTAATTTCTTCCAGGAAAGTCATTTTTGCATTTGTAAAATGATAATTTGGGAGCAGCTAGGTAGCACAGTAGATAGAGCTCTGGCCTTGGAGTCAGAAGGATTTGAGTTCAAATCCAACCTCAAACACTTGACACTTACTAGCTGTGTGACCTTGGGCAAGTCACTTAACCCAATTACTCACCAAAAAAAAAGTGACAATTTGGATTAACTTTCTCTAAGATCCTTTCCAATGTTATGATTTTCTTGTTTTCTAAAAAATGAAAACCATACCTTCAATCTCACCATCTAACATCTCCTCAAATATGGCCATTTCTTCCTTTTTTTTGAAGAAGAAAACTTTTTCTGTTTAATTCTTTAACATGATACAAATGGGCACTCCAGCTTTTTTGAATAGTGCTTCACCTGTTTTAAATACACAACATAGAAATGGGAGTTTTTCACATCTACCAGTAGTAGACCTTAGGCTTAGTTTTTTCATAGTGATTGCTGACAACTTCTAGTTACAAAAGAATAGATCAAAAATTGCTAATTTCTTTGAACTCCTTGCACAAGAGAATCACAGATATGGGAAAAAAATTGAATTCTTTGAGGAATTCGAGTGACTACTCCCACAATACCAAAGAGAGAAGAGATGCTTTTTACCATCTTGAAGGCAGAAACTATTTTCCATTTTTGTTTTTATGCTCTCAGTCCTTAGCATAGTCTCTTGTGCTTAGTAGGCTCTTAATGACTGCTGAATTGAAGGATTACTACTTTCAGAAAAAGGCACCTAAAAATTGGAGAAACCACCCATAATCAAGAACCTACAGTAACTCAAGAAGGCACAAAATCTGGACAGCGAAGAGAGAATCCTTTCCCTTTCTTACGGAGATTTATTGGCTCCCACAATGCCTTCCCTCTGAGATTACCTGCTATTTATTTAACCTGTATATTTCTAGGGCCCACGGGGGCAGTTAGGAGTCACCATGGATAGAGTGCTGAGACTGAAGTCAGAAAGACTAGAGTTCTAATCTGGCCTCAGATACTTCCCAGCCATGTGATCCTAGTCTAGTCATCTCTACTTGTTTCTGTTTTTTCATTTATAAAATGGGGATAGCATCTACTTCCCAGGGTTGTTATGAGGATTAAATGAGATAATAATTATAAAGTCTCCCCCATTATAATGTGAGCTCCTTAAGAGCAGAGACTGAATTTTGCCTTTTTTGGTATCCCAGGGCTTAGGACAATGTCTGGCACAGAGTTGTTCAATTGTTTCAGTTGTGTCCAACTCTTTGTGACCCCATTTGAGGTTTTCTTGGCAAAGATACTTGAGTGGCTTGCCATTTCTTTCTCCAGCTCATTTTTACAGATGTGGAACTGAGGCAAACAGAGTTAAGTGACTTGCCCTAGGTCACATAGCTAGTAAGTGGCTGAGGCTGGATTTGAACTCAGGTTTTCCTGACTCTGGGCCCAGTGCTTTATCCACATCACCACAAAGAGTAGGCACTTGATAAATTCTTGTTGACCAACAGACTAAAGAATCAAAACACAGCAATGTATACCTCTTATTCTATGGGGTATATTACTGAGCACAGTACCAGCGAAGGTGAAATCAGAAAAAAGTATGGATGGTCATATTTTACATATTTGTTTACATATTCCTTCCTGTGTTGATGCCCTGGCCCCAAAGACAAATACCATGGAAATGACTGTTTTTCTGGACATTCTAAAAAGTCCGTGATTTCCCACCTGGATCAAGCACTGATTAGTAGCACAGAGTCAATGTGAAAAGGATGGATTTTGAGAGTTGGAGAATTTGCAAAGCAACACAGAGCACTTGGACACAATCTCCTCTCTTTTTGCCCCTTGCAACACTATCATTTTCATACAGTGGGAGTTACACTGAACCCATATGGCCCACATCCTTTTCATGGAAGGAATCCAGCCTCTCAAACCAGATCTGTTCCATGAAGAGCCAATTTTTCTCAAGGCTGAACAAGTTGACAAGGGCATATGGGGATGCACTTACAAGCAACGCCTCTCCCTCCCCAGTCTAGAGCCAATAGAGAAATCAAGGAATACTTTTTTTTCAGCTTAAGGGGAAAAAGTTAAATACTGATTTAAAAGAAATATATTTTCACTTTCCCTCACCATCTTCTTGTGTTCCCTCATTGTTTTGTCTCCCCATCATGCCTCATTTCCTATAATGTCTGTAGTTATGTATAATTTCTTTTAGGGAAATTTGTCCAGAGAACCAAATGTATCCCAACAGATGAGACACTAAAGTCTGCCATCTTGGGAAACTGAGATATGATATTTAAAATCAAGGTTTTGTAAATTATAATTTTTGGATTTCTTGTAGGTGAGTGGAAATGTCTATGAGATAATGGCTTTACTCTTTAAATGACTCAATGAAGGAATAGAGGAAGGTGGGGAATGAAAAACTTTGTATACGGTCTTCAGTGGTACTGGCTTCTGTGCTGCAATGATAGGACAAAACAAGACAAGACAAAGACAAAGACAAGACAAGCCTTTTTACTTGCTACCACTTCCAAATATAGGTATCCTTCAATTTTATAACTGTTTATTTAAGAAAATTCTTAACCAAAGAGCTCATGGTATGTCATCCATTTGCTAAGTAATAGCACATCTCAAACTTTTTAGAATTGTAGGGGGTCCATTAAGGTTACAGACTTCCTATGTAGTTAGATGTTGCTGTCACCAGGAATTCCTAGATCCTCCCTCTGTTGTGTGTGTGTGTGTGTGTGTGTGTGTGTGTGTGTGTGTGTGTGTGTTAGTCTCTAGGGGCCTAAACTTTTTCAAGCAGAGTATGCCTCCAATATTATAATAGAAGTTGGTGGGGAAAAATGATATTCACTGAAGAGAATAATTATAATAGCTCACTTAATATTGCATAATTTACAATGTACTACCTTGTAATATAGTACAATATACAATGTACTACCTTATAAAGAACAGTGCCTAGAATGCTTGGCAAAGAGTCAGGAAGACCTAAGTTCAAATCTGAACTCAGACATTTACTAGCTGTGTGACCCTGGTCAAGTCAATTAACTTATGTTTGCCTCAGTCTCCTTAAAAGGGGATAATAATAGCTCCCAGAGTTGTTGTAAGGATCAAATGAGATAATATTTGTAAAACATTTAGTATTTGGCATGTAGGAATTTCTTTCCTGTTTTATACTATACTACAGTTTGTAAAACATTTACCTCATGACAACCCTGTGAGAGGCAGTACAATCAGAAAGAATAACTACAATAACCCATTGAAAGGAAGAGCTGTGGGTGGATTCCAAAGAATTCTTTTGTTTAGATTTAAAATAGTTGTAAGGGGCTACTTAACTTAATTTTTTTGTTGTTATTCTGAACTTGAAAAATATCAACATAAGCATTTTCATATACAGAGAAGAGAAAAAGGATTTTACATGAAAGCACAAACCTCTGTGATGTATCGCTTACATTAAAAAGTGTGTATATATGTGTATGTATGTTTTTTTATAATTTTTTAATAATTTATAATTTATAAAATTTTAAAATAATATTTATCATGTTAGTTTCAAAACCCTGTTTATATAAGTCTTCTGTTCTCTTTTGTGTATTAAGAAGTCTTGCTATGACTGACCTTCCTTCCTTCCTTCCTTCCTTCATTTCTTCCTTCCTTCCTTCCTTCCTTCCTTCCTTCCTTCCTTCCTTCCTTCCTTCCTTCCTTCCTTCTTTCCTTCCTTCCTTCCTTCCTTCTTTCTTTCCCTCCCTACCCCTTATTCATCACTATTGCTACTCCTAAATCTTTCTCCCTCTCCCACCCTAAAAAACAAAACAACCCTTAGAACAAATGAGTATGGTCAGACAAAACAAATCCACACACTGGCCAAGTTCAAAAATGCCTATGGCTACTTACCACTGAAGCAGCATGCATCCTCTCTAAGTTCTGTCCCCATAGTGTTGGCAAAATCGAGATTAAATTTACAGTCCACTTCTGGGGCACTGGCCACTTCTTGACAGTTATCTACAGCTGCCATCTTTTTACCTAGTGAAAGTGAAGACCATACTGTTGAAAGATAACCAAAGTTCTTTTGACATCTTATATTGCCTCCCAACTGGTTTCCCAACTCCTATTTCTTGGAGCATTTATTTCTGCTAGCATTTTGTCTTCTCTTCTGTTATAGCACTCTATTATTTAGGGATATTTCTTATTCTCTGAGTTATATTGTAAACTTCTTGAAGGCAGGATTACTTTGTTTTTCTTTTTGTATCCCCAGCACTCAGTACTGTGCTTTGCATGTAGAATATAGGTAGTTAATTTATGTATTTTTAAAACTGAAGTCAGTACTTCACTTTGAACCCTGAATATTTAGTATGCATTTGTTGAATACTATAATCTATTGACTATTTAATTTCTTGGTTAACTGATGGGTTTCTCCTAATAATGTGAACTCTCTTGTCACATTCTTAGAAGTAAAACTCATCATGTCCAAGATAGGTGTATACTTGTGTCATCCCTCATAGATGCTTATAAATTCTTTTAGGGCAGAACAAGATCATGTGTCTCATTCATTTTTTGAATGCTTTACTTTCAGGCTTTAGCGCTGTACTTTGCACATACCATTCATTTGGTAGATATCTGTTAAATGAACAAATGAATGAACCAAAAACAATAGTATGAATGCATTTCCATTAATGTGGAAATGATATCACAATTTTTCCTGTTTTATTAAGGCAAAGAAGTTAGTAAACAAGAAGGACTGGGAACCTGAAGAGGGTGGATCAGATTCCATGAATGAAAAGAGAAGAAAACAAAAAGAAAGGTGAGATCAGAGACACCAATCACAGACTTCAAAAATTTCACAATTATCATACAAACTCAAAGTTGGAAGGGACTTCAGGTCCAATCTGTACCGAAATAAGTATAGACAGGAGTGCTGTATGTGTGACTCACACATACATGAATAGACATCTCTAAGGAAAATTTTAATTCCTACCAGGAGGGGCCCAGAGGCTGCACACTCTGCTGTCCTCAGAGGGGGGAGGTACTGGATAGAATTATCTGTATCTACTCCCTTAAATATTATTAGTCTGGGGGAAATAACTTTGAGGTTCAAGCTAAATTCTTGATCTCTATTAATTAATGGGGAAAACCACCCCCCCAAGCTTTGTATCCAAGGCTTGATGCCCTTCCCACCAAATACAAGTTCTACCAGTGAACATGCATAACAAATAGCAAAATTTATCCAAGTTGATAGCAAAACAAAAATCAGAGAAAAATATACATGAAAATATATGCCAGACAATATAGATTTAAAGACCTCTGCCATTGAGAGCAGGATATTTCAGTTCAACCAAGAGAGAGAGTCCTAGATTTCCCCCAGGGGGGAAGTTCCCCGAAGTCTCTAGAATAACAAGCTGGGA